AAGTTCAAGAATTGCCTCTGCCAAACCTGGAGGTTCTTCTGGTATGTTAGTAATTTCACATTTAAAAGAATCTATAACCCAACATGTCGTCATCTCATATTTTCTTAACTTCCATTACCATGACAACATAAGCTGTCAAAACATATAATTGAACAATTGCTGAAGACAGTGGACTTAAACGCCCACATTCTACAAAATAATCCATTATAAGTATTATATACTATTTTCAGGACCGTATTCAGCTGTAATATTGACTATATGAGCCATTTTTTTTTCATGTATCGATATTTGTGTTACACTAAACTTGCTGTGAACTTTTCTTGTTACACTAACAATTGTTACGTAAAGTTAATTAATGACTAAGATATAAAGTATCTTACCGCAAAACACTTGTCAAATGTGACAATCAATCGAAATTACAAAAATTGACTTACTTATCTCTCTAAGACTCAGCGGTCGGGGAACTTTTTTAACCATTACCCCAAAATATTATTGCGTAAGTTTCTGAAAAGAAAACAATCAATGTAAATTTTAAATAAATATTATTTATTGAATTAATTTACATTTACATATTTATAAAAAAAAAAGTTACATGAAAATAGTAAGTATGTAATAGAGAAACAAAATAAAATTCTTAAATTGGTACAAACAAAAATTAATTGAAAACTTTCCCTCTTCAGGTTTTGGAAAAATGATGTTGCTTCATGTTTGATATAATTACTTTAAAATTGGGACTTTTTGATGTAAGAGCAATTTGAATATACAGTCTTCGGCGTTTAATCGATTTCTGTTTTTCGTTTTTATTTTCATTAGAGTGGAAAAGCCTTGTTCACAATGGTAGGTTGTTGCAAATGGCAGCAATTGTTTTTACCAAAAAGACGACAGATTTGCTTTGGTCTCAAATTGAATACGTGCTTCAGTATTGGATGGAAGTTCAAGAATTGCCTCTGCCAAACCTGGAGGTTCTTCAGGTATATTAGAAATTTCACATTTAAAAGGATCTATAACCCAATATGTCGTCATCTCATATTTTCTTAACTACCATTACCATGACAACATAAGCTGTCAAAACATATAATTGAACAATTGCTGAAGACAGTGGACTTAAACGCCCACATTCTATAAAATAATCCATTATAAGTATTGTATACAAATTTCAGGACCGTATTCAGCTGTAATATTGACTATATGAGCCATTTTTTTTTCATGTATCGATATTTGCGTTACACTAAACTTGCTGTTAACTCTTCTTGTTACACTAACAATTGTTACGTAAAGTTAATTAATGACTAAGATATAAAGTATCTTACCGCAAAACACTTGTCAAATGTTGTCGAAATTACAAAAATTGACTTACTTATCTCTCTAAGTCAGCGGTAGGGGAACTTTTTTAACCATTACCCCAAAATATTATTGCGTAAGTCTATATTAACCCCCTCCCTTCTCCATTCTGAAAAGAAAACAATCAATGTAAATTTTAAATAAACATTATTTATTGAATTAATTTGCATTTAAATATTTATAAAAAAAAGTTACATGAAAATAGTAAGTAT